ATGAAGTGATCTCTGGCTGTAGTTATAGAAATGAAGTGATCTCTGCTGTGGTTATGGAAATGAAGTGAGCGGAGCGCACGAGTGAATATATACAAAATTCTTTAATTTAAGCCACATTAATACTTATGTCAGCATTAAAATACAGTTTCTATTCCTACATATAATAGTAATACACATTTAATACAGCACTAAAAGATAGCCATTATTAAACATAAAAATAAACAGTAAACCTTTCTGGAGCTACAGTAGATGAAGAATTTTGCATGAATCATGATGATTTTAGTCGGAATGGATTTTTGGAATTCAGAAGTTTTGCCAAAAAGTATAATATCTTATTTGTTATTTGACACCGTTACAAAAGATGTTCTATAGTTTGTTTGCTTTCTTGGCATAAATTACATAAATCACATTGTTTGATTCCAATTATTTTCAAATAATGATTAAGTTGAAGTATTCTTGAAAGAAGCCTAAAAGTGACCCATTGACTGCTAGTTTTAAGTCCATATATAAAGAGTCCACCCTCGCTGTAGTCCTGAACAATTGTTGAGCGTTTTATTCTATCAACTAGTGATTGCCAGACAATTTTTTTTTCTTCAATGATTGAATTATGTCTTTACTTGGAGTAGGGAGAGATATAAACAGGTGATTCACTTTTGCGATGATAAGAGATTTAAGAACAGTTATTCTCCTTATAGGTGTTAAAATTCTTCTTGACCATTGATGTAACTTGCCATCTATAATACTAATAATTTTGTTGAAATTTACAGTAACCATGTCTTCTAAATTGACAGAGAAATCAATCCCAAGTAAGGTAAATTTGGTTGTTCCCCATTTTAGTTTTTTCAGTATATACTTTTAACCCCAATATTTTAGCATATTTATATCATATAAAGATTGTGTGCCATTTAAAATAATGGATGTGTCATCAGCAAACTGTGAGAGCCCGTGTTCTTTGTTATTTATGTTTATGCCCTAAAGTTTTTTTGTTTTTTTTTACCATGATAGCTGATATTTCAACTACCAAAAGAAATAAGTAAGATGATACTGGATCCCCTTGTCTACAAACGCTTTTTTATGTCTACAAAGTTGGGTTTAAAAAACCATTCTGTATGATAGCCTAGGAAGTATTTGTATTAAAACATAACAGATAATAATATCAAACTGAAGTCACACAAGTTAAACACAATTCATAGAAATCGGAAAATAAGTACAAGTTTAACTAATATATCATAATAAATATATATGACTGATTCTGAAAACTGTTCTAAATATTAATTATTATTTTGCAATATTAGCAGTTATTGATTATCTGATTAGAAGTTGATTTACCTGTGCAATTTACCTGTACACCATTTCTGCAATAGACTATAACTCACTATCATCAGATTTTAAGCAGAGTTGGTGTTCGGGGAAGACCCCGTCCACGCAATAAATGAATGCTTTCTGATTCGTTAGAAAAACACAAGTGTGTGGTCTTGCTTTTATCACATTCCTTCCGTATTTGGTAGAGAGATCGATACAAAGATTTTATAAACTTTGATATTTTTTTGTAAATACCGAACACTTTTCAGTTCGCCATGACAAGGGGATTCCGGCTAGTATGGTGATACAACATCTGTGATACAAACCGACAGAAAACACCAACAGAAAATTGACATTTGACATACCTGGAGGATTCACTTCGATTTGCTTTTGGTAATGAGCTATGGTAAGTTAAAGTATAGACGTTAACGAGTTCCGCATACTTTCCTACAGTGTGTGTTTACTTGGGACCATTCTATGGTGATGGGATAGTAGAGTATAAGGGTTTTCCTATGTTACCTGGGACCATCCTATGGTTATATGAGGTAGTGGAGTATAAGGTGACAATACCCAAATCGGATCACCAAACCATCATTTTTTTTAAATCATTGCAAAATCTGAGGAGGAATTATATTCATTTATGGTTGTATCAAAGAAAAAATATCGATGGGTGTTCTTACAAACAAATATAGCACCCGTGTCTCACTTGAGATATTTATAGAACGCTCTGAAGTCACCAATCAGCGTCTCCGGTTTTTGCGAATGTCGGGACCCGAATCGGATCAGCGCTTGAATTTTGCAGTATCGTACGCTTCAAATGAATATTGTTTTGTCAGCATATTAACATTTTATGATGACCTTTAGAATTTATAAAAAAAAGTATTTCTATAGTGTGAATTTATTCATATAGTCCAAAACAGAGTGCATGATCGTTGCACGCGCCATTTTTTAAAAACGTTATCAAACCCTTGACTTTTGAGTTTGAATTACGTTTTCTTGCGCTTTTTGAACTTAAAAACTAATTATCTGTAGACAAAAAATGGTGCATGACTATCTATTCTAAGACTACATCATTGTTATAACTGATTTGTTGACACATTTATTATTTTTGCAAAAAAGTGATCCGATATGGGTACCGATCCGATTTGGGTACTGCCACCTTAATGGTTTTCCTATGTTTACCTTAGACCATCCTATGTAGATGGGATAATGTGGTGTAAGGGGTTTTCTATGTTTACCTTGGACCATCCCATCCTATGGTGATTGGATAGTGGAGTAAAAGGGCTTTCCAATATTTACCTGTGACCATCCTATGGTGATTCAGAGACGTATAATATTAATATATAATGTATTATACGTCTCTGGGTGATTGGATAGTGGAGTATTAGGATTTACCTGGGACAATTCTATATTTACCTGGGACAGTAGAGTATGAAAACAGGAAGTCTGCCTCCACTGGAATTTTCCTCAGAGGATGGACACCGGACTCAAAATCCTCGGAGTAACCACTTCTGTCCGACACGCTATCTGTGAGGTCTATGGATGCCTCGTAAGTTATTCCTCGACACGCCTGTTAAAATGATAAATAGTATTTTATAGATATAATAAAATGTTTTATTTTACTGGTTGTTTTGACTGATTTTGTGAAGTAGAAAAAACTGTTTTAACGGAGTTCTACAATGGTTAGACAACATAAGTTTGATGCAATTGTGTAATCGCCGTTTACGTTGGCCTCTCTTCTAAAACCAATTTGAAATATGAGATTTGATTTTTCATTTCAACAAATTTTATTGACAAAGTTGATACAAGTCAATTGGATGGAATAACAGGCAAAGCCTATATAAGCTCTCTCCAGCGGTGGCTAAATTAACGGATTCTATTATTTTTATTTGATTTAATTAATACATCAATTTTGAAATGAAAATTATAAAAAAATTTTTTTTATTAAAGGGATGTAACTCCTTCTTAATTAACATAACTGAAATACAAATACATTCACACTTCTCACATCACACACAAAACACTTCCACAGGTATTATTTATTATTATAACATTTTACAATTGTATATGAGCTATATAGCTATCAATCACACAGATATTGGCAGACATTGACCAAAAGTCCATGTGCATATATATGCACAGGTCACAGTCGCCAAAACTGTTAAGTTCTTATAGTTTTATATGAAAATATATAGCTAGTCTATGTGTAATTCAATGTATAAGATGGAAACTGTAAAACAAGACAGATTGAACAAATCTTACAACAAACAACAACAAACAAACATGCTCAACTTAAAATTCCTATGTCCGTTGAAGAATAACATTTATAGAAAAGTAGGTAAAGTTACTTATTTGTGGAGTATAATTGAAATAGGAATAGTAAAGTATAAAAGTATAAAGTATAAGGTCATGGCTGGTTAGATCATATAGAGATTAAAACGCCTAGATTTACCAATAAATAACTGTACATCATTAAGTAACTGTCTGTTTGTTAGTCCATCACAATCAGGACAGCCTTGTAGAAAAATGTTTGTATCAATATGGTTATGATTTCCATAATTATCAACAGAAGTAAATAAAGTAAGTCTGAGATCATTATACAATGGACATTCAAGAAAGTAATGGAAAACTGTTTCATATTCAAAAGAGCAAGCACAAGAGGGACAGTCAGTTAAATGGTCATTGAATAAATCAAAATTTAAATTGCTACATAAGTTTCTAAGTTGACAAAGAATAATGTTGGCCCGTCTATCACCTTCAGTTTTAAAAATTAAGGTTGATTCATTATCGATAATAATATCTTTATTTAGTTTGTGTTTAAAGGTTGCAAGAGTTGGGGAGTTTAAGAGATCATTATCAGTAGTGTTAGTTGTGCGGCACATTAGAGGGAGGAAACTGTCAAAATAATTGTTAGTTCTGCATATTGGTGGATTAAACAGTCTTGTTTGTCTGAGGAAATAGGGATTATTGTTTTGATTGTTAATGAAAGGATTTAAGACATCTTGTAAGTATTGAGGTGACAGCCCATGCATTATTTTATACATCATTATGTGTTTGTGTTTATTTCTTCTTGTTGACAGAGTTTCCCAACCAAGTTCATTATAAAGTTTATTATGAGATGTTCCAGATCGAAGTCCAGTAATGATTCTGGCTGCTTCTAATTGAATAGATTCTAGAAGTTCTTTAGATTGTTGAGTGCAATTATCCCATACTATGTCTGCATATTCCAAAATTGGCCTGATAAATGCTATATAAATTTTAATTAATGATTTACGATTGACTTTAGTTTTAATGTAACGAAGAATATTTAATCTACTATAAGCTTTTTCATATATATTCAGAATGTGTTGATTCCAAGATGCATCATCTTTTAAAGTCAGTCCTAAGTGTGTATGTGCTGTTGAGTCAGTGATTTGGCTGTTTTGGAAAGTTATTGGAGGGTGATGTTTGTTATGTTTTCTAGAAAATATTACAGATTTAGTTTTGGTAGGGTTGAACTTGATGTCCCATATACCTGCCCATTCACCAATGTTAGAGAGATCATTTGTCAGAACTTGTGCTGCATGTGCTGGGTTTTCATCTATAATTACATATAAGGAGGTGTCATCTGCAAAAAGCTTAATATTAGTTGAAACATTGTCAGTGATGTCATTAATATAAAGGAGAAATAGTAAAGGTCCCAGAACAGATCCCTGAGGTACCCCTGCATTTATACCCTTAAACTGTGAGTGATAACCTTCAGTGGTGACTCTTTGCAATCTATCAGAGAGATAATTTTCAAACCATAAAAGTAAATTTCCATCAATTCCATACGTTTTAAGTTTATGTAAGAGACCTTTATGCCACACCCTATCAAAAGCTTTGCTAATATCACAAAAAATAAATCTGAGCTCCTTCCCCTGGTCCATATTGCTAACAGTTTCATTATAAATAAATAGTAGTTGATTAACAGTAGAATCACCTGGTATAAAGCCAGACTGGTGCTTAGTTAAGATAGAATTTTCTATTAGATAGTTGTAAAGATTTTTGAAGACAATTTTTTCCATTATTTTACTGAAACATGAGGTTATTGAGATTGGTCTATAATTTAAAACATCATTTGATGAACCCTTCCCTTTATATATAGCATTTATATTTGCTTGTTTCCATCTATTTGGTAATATTCCTGATTCAAGTGTTTTATTAAATAAAAGACAGAGGGGTAATGCAAGAGAGTTACTCAATTTTTTTACAACTTTAGGGATTACACCATCAGGGCCAGGGGGTTTATTTACATTAAGAATATTAATTTGGTCAGATACATCTTGTTCAGTGATATGAATGTTAGTTAGTGAGTATGGAGTATAGGGCTGTGCTGTCTGAGGTAATTCAAGGTCAGGGGATGACGAAGAGATATTAGTAAAGTGATTGTTAAGGATTTCTGCTTTGTCAAGAGGATGGTGAATGAATTGGTCATCATGTTCAAGAGGAGGAATAGAAGAGGATTTATTGGAGAAATTAGTAATAGATTTTGCAATTTTCCACCATTTGTCTGGGGAGACCATGTTTTCATTAAGACAATTTTCAAGTTTTTGGATATAATTTGCTTTTGCCTCACGAATCAAGTCAATAGTTTCATTCCTGAGTATACGAAATCTTTCCCAGTAGTGCGGATTATTTGTTACTTTGGCCTTTCTATGAATTCTATTACGTTGTCTCATTTTCAGCCTAATAATGTTATTCATCCATGGCTTATCATTTGGGCGTACAGTAATAACTTTGGTAGGGATGAAACTATTGACTTGTTCTATGATTGAATTAATTATGAATGAGTTAAATGCATCAGAGTCCAGATTTAATGACAAATTCAACCAATCAATATTAAGAAGAGCATTATTCATACTTTCAAAATCAGCTTCATCATATTTCAAGATAGTTTTCTTATAATTCACTTGTTTAAATACAGTAAAAGAGATTTGGGCATGAACTGATGAATGGTCACTACAGAATGGTGGTGATACATAAGTATTTTTAATTAAGTTTAGGTTGTTAGTAAAGATGACATCAATAGAAGTGGCACTAGCAGGTGTTATTCGTGTAGGTTCATTAATAAGACTAGTTAAGTTGTGCTTTATAAGGAGTCTTGATAAATGATCCTTAAGCGGTACATTAAGCATATTAATATTAATATCACCTGTAAGTATAATATCCAATGAAGTATCAGAAGCTCTAGTTAAGGTATCATCAAGCTTATCCCAGTATTCAATATTACTATCTGGTCTATATATACAACCGAGAAGAAATTTATGAGTATTAATTAAAACTTCTAACCAGAGTAATTCAACATCATCCCTTTCCAAGTCCAGCCTTCTTTTTGTTACAACAGTATTTTTATGATACACTATAACCCCACCCCCCGGACCAGTAGTTCTATCTTTTCTATGAGGAATTGGATTAAAGGGTTGTACTTGAATGTCAAAATCAGATATCAGGGGATTTAAGTGAGATTCAGTTATACATAAAATATCATTATTTTCAAACTCGGCTTCAATAAGTGGGGTTTTATTTCTGAGAGATCGCACATTGAGATGAACCAGATTCAGATTATGTTTAGGTCCAGGATTACTTTCGATGTCACAACAACAGGANGATTTGATAGCATTGGAGTTGAAATATGTGCATACTTACCTGGAGGAAAAAGAGTTTGGGCTTGCCGACAAGTGTGGGGCATCGCTCGCCCTTAAAGGGGACGATGAGCATCTCCAGGGGAAGTATGCCGTCCGTGGTATAGATACGTCCCTCGATACCGTGACTAAGGATGGCACAACCAAAACAGTCGCAGTCTGAGTGATCGTACTCCGAGGCTGCTGGTCAACACACAACAGTAGTATCCGTTAATACAGTACAAACTATCATCTAAGTATGTATAAATACAATACAAACATATTCTTATGGTAACGTTGGCCGTTACAAAGTCTAACAACCGAACCATGTAATCGTAAATGACGCGAAATCATAAACCCTAACTACAATCCAAATTTCAACTTAACTAAACAATATCTAAATTTTGACAAATCAATGGTATAACCTCGGTCAACACCCATTTCCACTAACTTTCTCCGCATATCAGAGGCCGCTACGGACATGTTTAATATCCATTCGGGAAAGATTGCGTGCTGCGCATCTCCACCTCTCCACCAATACTAGTGAGGAAATCTTTTGAAAGAAAGCAAAAAGTAAAAGAAAAAGAAGAATAACTGTTCCTTCTTCTATTTCAATGGGTACCATTTAAGAATCATCCAATCCCATGCATTTTGAGTAAAGTATTTTTTTGGAGATTTCTAGAAATACAGAAACGGAGGAGGGGGTTACATGATGTACATTTGTTTTCTTCAATCTTTCAATCCTTTTCGGTATTTCAGAGGCCACAGCGGCTATGTTGCCCAGCCGGAAGAAGAAACGTGTTCAACACATCCACCCGTATGTATATATATACCAAATCTCACATGAAGTTTCATTAGTATCGGCCTTGTAATCTCTGAGGAAACTATTTGGTGGAAGAAATAAGAGTCACGTAAAAACAAACCACCAAAAGAGCAAAAATTCATCTGTTAAAATTTGCATCCCTCCTCTTCGTTGTGACTTGTGTACATGTGGCCGAAGTGTACCGGATCCTTTACCGGTAACCGTGTAGTTATAAGGTTTGTAGAACCCTTCCCTGTCCGTTTCATGTTTCCATATATGTTAATGTCTTCCATAACGTAGTCCGACAGAACCAAAGGATAACACATGCTGTAAGTTGGCTCACTTGACAAAGGACGAACGGTTGGTCATCTAGGTTGTCCAAAGTGTTTATACAAAAACAGAAACCGACGTTGACAGCCTGTTAAGTTAAAGATGTTTTCAACGTCAGACTCGAGTCAATTATTTAAGCAGCCGTAAGTGTTCCGCTCGACTCCTCCGCCACTGATCAGATCTGCTTATGTCCCATCTCTCAACATGATATAACATAAAACGATTATCAAACACAGTCTCTATCGCCCAAATTCTTCCTTTCCAAGTGTATCCTCGAGTCCGGAACATTCTTCATTTACTGCGGCTTTCGCATTACACTTCATCCTATTAAACCCTTCACTGCTTTCCACTTCATATTCTAACCTTTCACTGCTTTCCGTTTATCCCAACCCTCTATCTACGTCAAATTCTTCCCTATTCGAATCATCTATCGCCTTCTACTACCTCTATCATGAGCTTCTACTGCTTGCCACTTCCTTAATTAATTGATCTTAGCTGTTCATAGGACGTGTCACAAAATAAAACCAAAACCGCCTTCCAATTTATCTCTATTTTAATCGTTTTATGTCTGTTTAAATCCTCTACCGCCTACCAATATCTCTGTGTTCTTAACCTCTTCAATTGCATACATGTATATGCCTCGCAATGATATATTTACAGTATGTCAATATAACAACAGATAGAACCTTGGTAACCAAAGTTATCCTATACTTTATCGGCAGTTTGAATCGCATTGCATGGTACATATAGACGTAATTATTATCCGCTGGTCATTTTCTCGCACGATTCTACATGTCTGGGAATGTACCTGGAAAGCAATCCCGGTCAACTGTTTGTTTGTATGTTTTGCTTGTTTGTTTGTTTGTATGTTTGGGGTTTAACGTCCTCGCAACAGCCAGGGTCATATAAGGACGGGTGCCTAGGTAGACTGTGCCTGAAACAGAAAGTAGATAGAAAAGAAAGAAGACAGAAGAGATAGGAAACTTCACAGATCCCAAGTGTTAGTGGGGGCAGCAGATCAGTTTTGGTCTCCTCCATGTCCCCTCGTAGAGGACACGCTCAGGTCCGTATCTCGGTGACACTGCCTCTGTCGTTTATAGAGCATGAAAACAGCTTCCTTACTCTCAACATGCTTCTCTGCGACTTTGAGTATTGCCTAAATTTCTTTTGTTTTTTCCCCCATTTGTTCTGCCATATTACAGGATCTGACTGAACAACTACTTGTACTAACCCTCAAGTATGATCAAGAATGACCGATATGAACTTAACTTCATTAATCATCATAATGACGACCTTCTTGTACTAATTACCCTCGTATAGGATATGAGGATAACCCACTTGTTCTAACCCTCATAAATGATCATGAAGAAAATCAGCTCGATCAGGACAAATATTGCCGAAGTAAACTCTACTGCTGACAATGATATCTCTGTCATGACTGATGACATTGAATTTGATGGGGATCCATTGACAAAGCTCTCACCAACACAACCCAGGACGAGTTGCGCAATATCATCATGACCTCGCAATCGAAGTCATGTGAGCTTGATCCACTGCCTACAGACCTATTAAGGCAATGTCTTGAAGCACTGCTACCTTTGATTACCTCAATCATGAACAAATCATTGGTTCCATTGTGTTTCAAGAAGACACATGTTAGACCATTGTTGAAGAAGCATGGAATGGACAAGGAGGAGTTGAAGAACTACCGCCCAGTATCAAATCTGCCTTTTCTGTCTAAGATCTTGGAGAAGGTTGTGTCCCTGCGTTTAGAAATTCATCTCCATGCAAACAGTCTCCATGACAACCTACAATCGGCCTACCGCATGGGACACTTTACTAAGACGGCCCTCATACGTGTACATAATGCCATAGCTTCTGCATTGGATAACAAGTGTAGAGCGGTGCTTGTCATGCTGGACTTGTCAGCTGCATCTGACGTCATCGACCATGGCATACTTTATAAGACTGATACCGCACTATGCTGGATACAGTCTTATCTGAGTGAACGACGACAGTGTGTTGCCATCGGATCTACCATCTCACATGACAAAGTACTAGATTTCGGGGTTCCTCAAGGGTCGTTGTTAGGACCTCGAAAATATTGTCTGTACTCCAAACCGATTGGAGAGTTTTGTCGTCGCCATAGCCTTCGCTATCATTGCTAGGCTATTGACACACAAATGTACATGGCCATAAAGCCACAAGACAATTGGGATACAATTTCAGAAAATCTGAAAGCTTGTCTGCCAAATATCAGTACCTGGATGAACGCCAACATCCTAAAGCTTAATCAGGAAAAGACGGAACTAATCGTCTTTTCCCCAAAGTGTCAGCAAACAATGGCTCTCCAGCTCAAGGTCGGTGCCAGAACTATTGAGACTGTCCCAGCTGTTAAAAACCAAGGGGTATACTTTGATGGTTCACTGAACATGGAGAAAGAAGTGAACGCTATTGTCAAATCCTTTTACTACCAGATCAGGATCATCGGCTGTATTCTGCAGTTTATAACTGCAGATGCATGCAAGAATTTTGCGTTCACTTGTTACCTCTCGGTTGGATTATGGTAACGCCCTGCTCTGTGGTATATCTGACAAACTGACTAGTCGTCTGCAGTGGGTCCAAAACACTGCAGCACGGCTGGTTTCTCGTACTCGAAAGAGAGAGCACATCACACCTGTGCTATATTCATTGTACTGGTTACCTGTACGATACAGGTCGCAGTACAAAATGTTGGTGTATACATACAAGGCACTGAATGGAACAGCTCCCCATAACCTACAGGAGCTTGTTACCATGTGTCAGCCGTCACGATCACTGCGGTCGGAGTCAGAATCATTGTTGTGTGTCCCAAAATCTCGTATTGTGACCTATGGAAACCGGTGCTTTGGGAGGGTTTCGGCCACGTTGTGGAATAGCTTACCATCTGCTATTAGAAAGTCAAATACCCTGGCCAAATTCAAGAGGGACATCACCTATTCACGTCTGCATTTTAGACTCTTTGCAAAGACGTCATGTGGATACCACCCTTTATTTGTTCATTTATGTGCACATTGCGATGATTATATGCTTGCTTAAATGTATAAAAGTGATTGTTCGCCTTTGTTTTTGTTTCACAATTATAACTAATACTATTATCAATATGTTGTAAAGCGCTTTATAGTAATTTATAGGGCGCTATAAAAATGTTGTATATTATTATTAGTAGTAGTAGTACTAACCCTCGCACATGATCTCAGTGATGACCTACTTGCACTTACCGTCATACATGATCTTAGTGATCTTAGCGCTTGCCACGTCATTGTAGCGTCTGACCTCAAAACCAAGGTCCTGGAATCTTTCTTCCAGACGCTCTGCGTCAACGTTGGTGCCTTCCCGGGTCACTTGTCCCGTAGACGGGTGAAAATTCTTGTTGTTGATTATCAAGAACAGGCCCCGTTTGTGGTAGTTGAAGTTGTACTCATTCGGCTCTGAAGGGGCACCAGGGCGGACTGAACGCCGGTCTCCGCTGTGTAAAGGAAACACAACTGCTACATTTTGTTTAATTTTTTTAATTTGTATATTCCGAATTACATATGACGGTTAGTTTTGACGGTATATATTTCATTGAAACTAGGTGCGGTACTCATTTTTAGAACTAGAATATGCTACACATTCTTTTCTGCTATCTATTAACACAAGTTTCGACTAATTTGTATTCCAAATTTAAGACACAAACTCCCAGCCAACACTTTCTTAAGTTCGAAACATAATAGTATTTAGCTTTATTTATTTTGATAATTTACTGTAGTTGAAGTCTGTCCGGTACATTTCATAGACGTTTTTTCTAATTTTACTTTTCTCTTAGACCGCAACGTAGTTATCGAACATTAATGGATACATTGGTAGTAAATAAGACGGTTTGTATACATTGTATGTGAAAGGGAGAATAATTATAATCTTGCATGGGTCCTCTTACACTACAATGAACCAGTGATAACTGTACATTGCAAATGTTTATACTTTTTAGATTTCAAATAAAACTTTCAGTGACATCGTTATAATAAGAAGTTGTGTTGGCAGATGAACTTGTATCTAGTGACGCTAGATTCGTAACACTGTGATACACGAATAAAGCGACGATAATAAATGTAAAAGGTTAATATGCTAACAGCAGACTAATTGATTACATTCAAGTATGATATATATTTACAACACTTGACGGTCTACTAGATTAAATCGGTCAAATTAGGGAGTGACTGAAATTGGTGTTGGCATAGACTTAAAGACCTCTGACAAAAATGCTGGCTGGTATTGATTAAAACAAAGACAGCCCGTGGCTACATTTGTTTACCGATATGATAGACGTGAAGGCTTTACCAGTAGATGATTGGCCTATAATAACTAGTGATTTGGAAGCACTGTTTATTCGGTCATTGGTTATCGATCTGTAAACACTCCAAGAGCAGCTCTATAAACAAAACCGTTGAGTGATGATGTCATACACGTAATGGAAGATATACCAGTCTGGAGGGTGACTTAATATAATGGCTATGTATGCAGCATCAATCAACAGTCTGTACTGACTCTACAATATGTACGTCTCCATCAGACGATTGGAGTCAGCCCGAGGGAACAACTACGGAATCTCTAAATATGCGAGGGTGCCAACTAGCCAGAAAGCAAACTATCTGTTCCTACATTATAAACGCATCAAACCAACCTATATAGTTTGTTGTCGTCTTTTAAATGTACGTGTGGACCAGTTATACTGCACAAGGGTTTGTTTAACTAGATTGACTGTCGCCATCACTGTATTGTCATTCTTTAATACATTGTATGTCAGCCTCATCGGTGTCATGACTAACTTAGGATTGATACCGTAGAGTCCATCTCTCTTCCTCCCCTAAAAGCAACCAACCCTTTTCAAATCATATAAGTCCATAAACTAGTCTGAACGGAAGCTTTTATGAGCTGATCCAGGCAAGTTGATCTTGTGAGGGACGACTGTAAGCCCATTAGTGCTGAGCCTGGCTAATGATGGCGCAGGACTTGTAGTCCTTCAACCTGTGTCACGAGCTTTATAACGTGTGTCACAAGGTGTTCCATCAACTGCAGTCCTTCAACATGTGTCACGAGCATTATAAGGTGTGTCACATGGTGTTCTACCAACTGAAGTCCTTCAACCTGTGTCACGAGCTTTATAACGTGTGTCACATGGTGTTCTATCAACTGAAGTCCTTCAACATGTGTCACGAGCTGTATAACGAGTGTCACATGGTGTTCTACCAACTGTAGTCATTCAACCTGTGTCACGAGCTTTATAACGTGTGTCACATGGTGTTCAATCAACTGAAGTCCTTCAACATGTGTCACGAGCATTATAACGTGTGTCACATGGTGTTCCATCAACTGTAGTCCTTCAACATATGTCACGAGCTGTATAACGAGTGTCACATGGTGTTCTACCAACTGAAGTCCTTCAACCTGTCACGAGCTTTATAACGTGTGTCACATGGTGTTCTATCAACTGTAGTCCTTCAACCTGTGTCACAAACTTTATAACGTGTGTCACAGGGTGTTCCATCAACTGTGTGTCCACCAAAATGTGTCACATGATTCTAAAATCAATCGATTAATTGAATAATAAGAATGAAGGTGTTTTAGTCTATAACTCTGGAAACTAAACAAATGAGAACAGTGCAACCCAGATCAAAATTTGAGACCAGACCAGAAATACATTGTTTTATGGTACGCCTCATCAACCCGTCATGTTAAAAATTGGCTCTATTTCTATTGGTAGGACACATTTGCCACAAATCTTAACACACATATAAAGAATACCGAAGTGTGGAAAAAAACGTGATTCGAACTTGCTAACAAAGGAAATATTAACAAGAACAATCTTTGAAAGGAGAATAAGACCAGTTGTTCCGGAAGGGTAAGCGTCATTTGATTCATCAACGACACTCGTCATGTAAATTTAGTCCAAATTAAGTTAAATCACGTCGTCAAGTTCAGAACCAAGATATTGACAACGAAACCTAAAGAAACACTAATGGGCATGGGTATAAACGTCGATATTCATGTCGCTCAAGGAAACCGAATACTTCCAAATCCATCAGCAATAAATTGGGGAAAAGACAGTGAATATCGAATCCAATGTGACGGGTCAAAATGAGGGGATACAGGGATGTTATCGCCAAGAAAGGGAATTTTCAAAATCATACAGTTATCGTACAACTTAGAAATAAATTGTCACTGTACGTAATGTAACTATAACCAAAAAGAGCCGCCATAGTTAAAGTGCATTGGTATGTAAGTTGGTACAGTAACAGCAAATCTTGCTGATGTCTAGTATTACCTGTATGTTTGGCAAATCACTGAGCAGCATATTTGTCATTGATGGAGGGAAGATTCCAGCATTGAGTGGCTGCAGATCTACCTTGGAACTCAATATAACAGATAGGGGAACTTTTCCCCTAGTTCCCTTGATAATAACTTCATCATTTAGAATGAAAAGACGCTGTGTACTAATGGTCATTACAGGATTGGTGGAGAAAGGTTATCAGGTGTGTATCAAGATGGTTGAACTGTGGAAACAAAAACTTTGAAGAGCTTAGGGCCTGTCTTTCAGAATTCAAATAACCTTCCTCGCAGCTCGAGGGGTTCCAACGATAGCGGTGAATTAAAAGCAGTTATAAAATGTGTATTGAGAAAATACTTAAGTAATACTTCTTGAACAATGCTTGCCGTAAGAAAGGACAATTGCAACACGAAGCTGATCCAGGAAGATGGAACTGTAAATTGGCAAAAAGGAAGACATGTCTACGCAATCAGTCGAAGGGAGGAACGCTACGTATTAGGTGAGATACTTAACCTCTTGGAATCCTCATTGTTCCAATTCTTGAAACAAACAACAGGATCAGACAATGTTTACTCAACAACAAACACATCCATGCTTTAAATTACAAGTTAGCAATGATGAACAGAACCAAGACTGCTCTGAGAAAGCTATTTGTAGGGTATCAAACGAAAATATGCCTGTTGAATGAGGCTATGACACTTGCCTTGGCTAATGAGATATAACTACCCTAGTTGTTACGGTGATTCCAGTCTCCTATCCGACCTAATAGTTTGTGGAGTGGGATGTGGAATTGCTATGCTAAGAGGAGTATGACAGCTGAAGAAGTGCCTCCAGATGAATTGCTATGCTAAGAGGGTGTATGACAGCTGAAGAAGTGCCTCCCGATGGATTGCTATGCTAAGAGGGTGTATGACAGCTGAAGAAGTGCCTCCAGATGAATTGCTATGCTTAAAGGATGTATGACAGCTGAAGAAGTGCCTCCAGATGAATTGCTATGCTTAAAGGATGTATGACAGGTGAAGGAGTGCCTCCAGATGAATTGTTATGCTAAGAGGATGTATCACAGCTGAAGAAATGCCTCCAAATGAATTGCTATGCTAAAAGGATGTATGACAGCTGAAGAAGTACTTCAAGATGAATTGCTATGCTAAGAGGATGGATGACAGCTGAAGAGGTGCCTCCAGGTGGATTGCTATGCTAAGAGGATGTATGACAGCTGAAGAAGTGCTTCAAGATGAATTGCTATGCTAAGAGGATGTATGACAGCTGAAGAGGTGCCTCCAGGTGAATTGCTATGCTAAGAGCATGTATGACAGCTGAAGAAGTGCCTCCAGATGAATTCTATGCTAAGAGGATTTTTGACAGCTGAAGAAGTGTGTCCAGATGAATTGCTATGCTAAAAGGATGTATGACAGCTGAAGAGGTGCCTCCAGGTGGATTGCTATGCTAAGAGGATTTTTGACAGCTGAAGAAGGGCCTCCAGAGGAATTGTTATGCTAAGAGGATGTACGACAGCTGAAGAAGTGCCGCCAGATGAATTGTTATGCTAAGAGGATGTATGACCGCTGAAGAAGTGCCTCCAGGTGAATTTCTATGCTAAGAGCATGTATGACAGCTGAAGAGGAGCCTCCAGGTGAATTTCTATGCTAAGAGCATGTATGACAGCTGAGGAGGTGCCTCCAGGTGGATTGCTATGCTAAGAGCATGTATGACAGCTGCAGAAGTGCCTCCAGATAAATTCTATGCTAAGAGAATGTATGACAGCTGAAGAGGGGCCTCCAGGTGAATTGCTATGCTAAGAGGATGTATGACAGCTGAAGAAGTGCTTCAAGATGAATAGGACGCTCTCCCTCGTGCCGCTTTATAAAGTCAAGAACGCTGGAACCGATGGTTAGCTTCTCCCCACAATGGCACAAGATTTACTCGGGTTAAAAAGAGACAAAACAAAAACCATAAGACATCCCGGATTGCCGATTAAACTGTACCAAGTATTCGCAATAAAAAGAATGGCCAACTCCATGCTACACTATCTATGAAGATCCGTCTATAAGTCTCGTGGGTGCCACGTTTTCACTTTATGCAACAAATAAATCTTTGTTCCAAAGATGCTTCCAGATATAATTGACCCACCTAGTAGCATTTATGATGCTTAAAGGGAAATA